CTACTTTCTTAACAATTGCATGCCAAGAAAGTATGATGACAAAGGAAGGGGGTGAAGGTTACATGAAGGAAATGAGGAGGGCAGAAATCCTCCAACAAATAGGGTAAGTCGTCGCCACAGCAACAGCGCTTGGACCGACAAGGCCCTGCCTTGTCCACCAGGGCCCAGCCCGTTACAGAGCAGTCCAGAATATTTATCGGGATGGTTCTGGTTCTCATCTTCGGTGAAGGTTTAGGAATCTATGGGTGCGTATCTATAAATTATCACCGGGGTTTATTGTTGACCACTTTTTAAGCCTAATCGTCGCGTTGGTCCTCCGATCGCGAAGAAGGTGTAACGGGCTGAGCCGTTGGTGCGCATTCGGCTGACGCCGATGCTGGTAACGCCACCAAATGAGGTCTCACAACCTGCCCCTGAGTATCGACTATATGTCGCCAGGTAGCCAGCTCCTCGAGAGCTTCCTGTTCTCTTCTCTGCAATGCAATCAATTTGTTGGTTTCTAGCACGCTTCTGGCTGAATAAGCCCCGTGCCCCTTACAGAAGGCGCTGAATGTCATAGGCTCAATGTACATTGACGAAGATAAATCTGGCGCAGCGTCGCAACAACCCTTTTGTGTGCAGAGACTAGTTAGTTGTCCTATCCTACTGCATGTGGAAGCCATGGGAGATTGGCGCAGGTATGATGATTCAAGCCCATGGTGGGTAGAGCATGATCGGGACGTTTGAGATCCAGACTTCGCGATCATTGACACATTTTCTTGTCTGCACGCTTGCTCAGGCCCAATTACTTTAGTTTTGCTGATCTACAAGTGTGGTATTCAAATCTGGGTCATAGCGAACATCGCAACGCCTTTCTGCAAGCTGCAGCATGCCGAACCTTTGCAGAACTATATCGCCCATGATGCATGAGGACTCTGCAGAGGCATGTGTGCAACTCCGCTACTCAGCACTGCGATGGTGTGCGGCCATGAAGGCTTGACCAAGCTTACCGGTGACAATACCATTGCGTCGTGGTGGCCGACTATTACTGCCTAAAGCAATCTTACCGCTGACTTCCAGCCTGATCGGTCATTCTTATACTCAGTATACACAATTGGTAACCCCTTGGTTAGAGCGCGAATACATCATAATGGCCACAACACCGCCATAGAGCCCCAAGACTTCAGAAAAGATTAGTATGAGTACCATGCCGACATACAGGCGCGGCTGCTGGGTGCTCGCACGCACTAGGATGCACGCGATTAACACTTGCCCACTCGACCAGCACACAAGAATGAAGGAACGCAGGGACTCACCACCTGAGTCACCGACAATCCCAATAGCGAACCCAGCAGCCAGACCGCACAGCCCAACCGCCAGTCCAGCACCGAGCTGGAGGAAACCGGTGTGGATTGCCATTTTTTCTTTGACACTGTTTGCGATGATCACGCTGATAACAAGGCCGTATATGGAGAGAATTTGAGCCATAATAGCGCATAGGCTTAAGAGGGGAGCTAAGTTAGCCCTCGCGCTGTCCTAGGGTTTAGGCGTGAGGCACGTACATGTTTTGCATAAGCCGGTCGGGTCGCGGGACGCCAGAAGCGAAGATGGCACCGGCAGACTTTGCAGTACCGTACGAAGCGCCGTCGGTAACGAACACAATGGCACTAGTACAACCCATGGCGCTAAAGAACGACTGCATAATTGCAGGCATGTCAGCTTGGGTTATCGACTGCGAAACGTAGACTGACTGGGTAGCAACTGACTCGCAACAACTCCAGTCCGTCCAGCAGGTTGAAGGCATCCCTCGTGAATTGGCGGCATCCCCAATGGATTGGCGGCATCCCCAATGGACTGCAGGTTGGCGACATCCCGAATGGATTGGCGGCATCCCGAGTGGATTGCAGGATGGCGGCATCCCCCATGAATTGGCGGCATCCTGAGTGGATTGCAGGAACTCAGTGTGGCTACACTCACTAGTTGATTACGCCCGGTGACCAGCTGGCCAATAGAGCAACTATCTGCTTAATTACATGTTCGCTTCCAAATTTGACGAAGTCTCAAAATAGCCCATACCTTCTCCATCTCCATCTCTTTGTCTTTCCTGTTCGTCATGACGCCCTGTTCCCGTGTGTGATTTTATTAACAAGCAAGCTTGAAGGCAATTCTTCAAGTGTTCAGAGTCCTATCTACGGCGGCTGAAGCGGTGCCTGTTGTTGGATGCACGGGTGATGTGCAAGGGGTTAGTAGTGAATGGCTGGTCCGGCGAGGACCCCATCAATGTCGCGTGTTCTCCAATCGCCCTGTTGCTAACGCATAACGGATCGTGGCGCGCACTGCTTCCATGTTTGGTGCCCAGTTGTCATTGTCCGATCGTTGCTTGCCCCCCAGGAAGAACGAAATGTTCCCTCGCTGTGTGTCTGTGCATTGTATCATCTCCGTGCGAAATGCTGTCCATCTGGTGCATCGAAAAAGAAAGTGATCTACTGTTTCTCGGGCGTGTCCGCAAGCGCACTGTTGCGACGCTACTGCTTTGATGCGGTACAGGTAGTCGTTCAGTCGCGCCATGCCTGTCCTGAGTTGTGCCAGCACATTGGCCTCCTTCCATGTCAATTGGTCATATAGTTGGCGAGTGTGTTTTCCGGGTAGTGCTCCGTCGATCCTCCTAGTGAAATCCCCGACGTTGCTCGGAATTTTATTGTCAGCACGCTGTTTCGCCCTTGCGATGCCCAGTGTCGTTGATCGTGCTCTGGGGAACTTCGCTGCGGGAGTCGCGCCCTCGCGCGTGGCGTCCCGTGCCTGGTCCTTGGCCAGTCTGAGGAGCTCATGTTCACTGCTGACGGGCACCCATGTAACTGTCACCGCGTTTCCCTGGTCTCTCAGGGCGCCGATGGTCTCGTGTATCGAGTCGACATACTGCTGGCCTGATTGTTGTCGTGGGTTTCGAAGGGTAAGAACGGCTGCCTTGTTGCTTGTCAATACTTCCACGCTCCGATTTCTCATCTCCGGTAAACACCTGAGCGCTTGCGCAATGGCCGCCAACTCTCCGGAGAACGGGTTCTGTTCCGTCCTCAGGCCAAGGGTGAAGGAGTGGCGTTCAAGTCCCGCTCCTTGTCCACTTGTAGGAGACAGTTCGATCACCGCACCAGACCCTACAAGACCATTACGGGCTGAGCTGCTCACTGCTACATGCATAACCCCGTCCGCGGCCGCTTCTATGCGTGTCGCTGCGTCATCATCGTCAGTGATCGTCCGGATACGTTCGGCCCACGGAGCCAAAGAGAAGGGATTGATCGTCTCCAGTTCGTCGACCGGAATGTCATTGAGTGCTGTCGCCAGCTCGTAGAAGGGAGACCGACAGAACCGCTTGAACTTTCGGATGCTCTTCGTCGCGTTACGCAGTGGATTTGTCGTAGGCAGAGTATGCATGTCGGTCCACATCTTGACGGCTCGTCTCCAAAAACGCTCCTGGGCGCTTGGGATGTGTGCTTCTGCTTCAGCTATACTGGTGGCAACGGTCATGAACGTCCCGACGATTGCCTGCGCCCCGGCCCTCTGTACCCGATTGATCGGGCCAGCCCGGTTGTATCGGCACGCATGCATCCAGACATTGGAGGCATAATCTACGATTGGCGCGACCATAGCCGTGAACAGCTGTCTCGCTGTGGCTGGTGAGAGGCCACGAAGCCGCTGGAGCTCCATGGCCGACTC